GTAGGACTACGGCGGGTCATCTTCGCTGACCGATCTGGTATCAGGACGAATTCACCCCCTATTTCGGTCATCAGTCAACGACTGCATACTGGATTGTGAATTGATGCTGTGGGATAAGAGATTGAAGAAATTGTGTGGGTTTAATGTATTTTTACTGGATTACAGTTCTGGATTATGTGATGGCGGGGATTTGTAGATTGGATGCAGTCACCAATTACATACACTTTCACAATGTTCGCCGCAGTGTGAATTTCCTTGACACACGCGGGTCAGGAAATCCACATTGCGGCGAAAGGCGGCGTTACGAGAGCAATGCACTTGCGGCGATGCCGCTCTGCCCCAAGTGACGTCGCGAGCACTACCTCCACCCCAGAATCTTACCGATTTCACGCGAACGTACTAAAGCATGTCGAGTCAAGTGGCTAGGAAATACTAGCTAACTAGTTTGTGCACGTCGCCGCAGTGTGGGTCTCCTAACCCGCACACCATCACGTGTCTCCAACAAAATTCTCATATTCAGCTCGAGTGTTAGAATTCGTTTTGTGAAAATGAGTAGAAAATCCTCCAGGAGGTGGGACTTCTGGTGCAAGGCACGTCTTTCGCATTCTTGTTATTCCAGGTCGACGTCAATTCAAATCTCAGAATTCCGAGTACAGAAGTCATTCGTTTCGTCATATTGATCCGGGTGATAAGGTTCAGTTGGGTAAGTTAATAGTTTGCGAATGTTTTAAAAGAGTAGTTCCGCCTATTTGACGCTGTGATTTTTGATGATAAAATATAGGTTGGAAGGAAAGTCTTGTCACTGTTGTGACTTTTTTCTTTTTTTATTTTCTAACTCAACATACGGTGGGAATTAGTCAACAATATACTCGTCATAGTTAGCCACTATGCTGCTTCACCTAATGGACAGGTAAGCATTCCCCCTCTTCCAGAACTGAGGAGGCAGGGAGTCAAGTAAGTCGGCGACCTCTCCACTGATGTCATCAAAGTTGCTGACAGTTTTCTTAGCTAAGAGAGCCTTGAGGAGGCGGAGCAGGTAGCAGTCGTATGGGCCTATGTCAGGAGAATATGATGAGCGTCTGGTTCTTTTACCCGTGCTCCTCAAACAATTTGTTAGGGTCTCCATGGCCCAGCATGGGGTTCTGTCCTTAGGAACGACGGTGCCCTGAAGCAGTCTCGGCCATTTTCTCAACAGTTTCCACTGGGTTTTCTTTAGCCCTAGCGCACAAAACGGTAGAACGGTGACCGTGGTAGTTCTTACAAGCCAGCTCGTTGTACAACCTTTTGGGCCCTTTTGTTTTCCCCCGTTCCAGGAGCATCCAACAGGAGAAAGCTTCCTGAATACATGTTCCGGTTCACTGCTTAGAATGGAGCTTTCCTCGAAAAGGGACACAAGGTACTGTGTGCTTGGAAAAATTACAGAAGAATCTCTCAACTCGAGCCAGCCTCCTAGAAACTTGCCTGAAAGAGAGAGGGAGAAGTTGGGAGACTGGACCAAGGGTACTCGGTTGCCGCAGCTGCCATTGGCAAGGTTGTGAGCGATTCATCGAAGCCAGCTACTTTCTTGGTAGTCAAGAGCTTACAAGGCGGTGGACGACTGCTCAGTTACGTGGAATCGAGTCTTGTGCATGATTGCGAATGGTAGCCTCTAGGCAGTCCTCCTTGACTGTTCGAGAATGGTAGATTTCTCGCACCTTTAGGGCGCCCAACCAAGTTTGTACTTCGAGGATTGTGTCTTCTTATCGCGAAAGCGTGCGGATCCAGAGGTGGACGACGTCCCCTAATGGTAGCGGTTTCCTTCGACAATGCACTGTTGATGTTGCGGACAGCTGCCGTGGATCCATTGCCGCCGGGCCACCGATAGAAGATGACAACCCGAAGATGCTCCTGTGAAACTGACATCGTAATTAGACCCAGGAAAGAGCAGACGCCGTCACACACCTTTTGCAGGAAAGCTCCTAGAATGTTCTACAAGCATGGCACCTCATATTCAAGCAACACAAACAAGCATCGAAAATCAAAAACTGTAAGCCTTTCAAAAAACACTGACAGGACTTTCCTTCCAACCTAATATGTACAAGGCCTTTGTTTTGATGCTGAAATAAAGCCGCCATTTCGAAATCTGATAATTTCACTTTTTCTGATTAATGTCAGAATGAGATGTTAAGCAGGATCAGGGGAAGGAGTGAGTGCCGGCTACGACGTAGTTCTTTCATCGCGACGCGTCTGGCCTGCGGATTCCGCTTTTTCGCTCGATTCTGGAGATGAATCGATAAAAGTATCACTCTATCGGCATAGGAGCTCATTTGGTAACATTTGTGCCCCTTAAAGGCACATTCCGCGATAAAATAAGGCTATGACCTCTCAAATGTGTCGGACGATCCGGAAGGCGATTTTTGAGGCTGCGCTACTTTCAAAATGTGAAAAACGGCAAGAACTCCGCTAGAAGCTGACTAATTAGGCCCATGGACACCCCTTAGGCCCATGCCGACCCTCACCGGCTGCTAGCTACTAGCTAGTAGCCACTATGTTATCTTTCTCTATTTCGTTCGGACTGCTTTTCGTTCGGACTGCTTTTTCTGCTGTTGCTCTTTTCCCACTAATCAGATACTTAGGTTAGCACGTTTTTTTGCCTATCTGAGTTGCCGTTGCTCGCAATTGCGGGGGCGAACTGCTGCCTTTAAGCTGCGTTTTATATCGCACAGTCTTGGATTCGTTTGCTCTTCGTTTGGATAACACGCAGTCAGCGACGCGGTGCTAACGTATTTGGGGGGGACCACGCGGCGAGCGGCGAGCGATGACTCATCCGCTCTTCTGCTCCCTCCTCGGCAAAAAAGAAGTAATTTCATGTTTAGGACATGGATATAACACCGTCCTAGCTATATTCAAAAGCTAGAACAGTTAAGGCTGAAAAGTGCGAAGAAAGAGTTGAAGGCTGAAGATTTTCCTAAATTTACAAACGATTGTTGCCCACTTTTGTTGATTCGTTGCCGCTATAAAGAGATTAATATTTGCGATTTCTTTTCCTCTTTGTTTTTTCTTCATTTGTTGTTTTCAGCTTCTGTGGGATTTCCCAGCAAGTTCCCGGTGAATCTTGTTTGTTTCATTCTAATTTGGCTGCTAGATTCGCGCTTCAAGTATGCCTATGAGTGAAGAGCTGATGAGTCATCACTCGCCGCTCGCCGCGTGGTCCCCCCCAAATACGTTAGCACCCAGCCACGCGAGGTTAACTTGAACACTTGAATATCGACACCCAAACTTGAGACGATTGATCGGTGATTGACTTGAGTTGGAAAAGAGGAGGACCAAGAGACACTTGAATCGTTTATGCCAGCAAATCAACGAGCAAAGAGATGTGCTCTGTGGAGCAAGTGGGTACTGGGAGCAAAGTGCAGAGCTGCGTCTGCGTTGTCCTTTTGTAGGCGCTTTTCCCGCCAGATCGATGTGCGGATTTTTTTGAATGATCTGCCGCGATCAGACTGCTTCAGCTGGCTCAAACTGAATCAACTAGTTGAACTCTATATTAATAAGCAAGCACACAATACACGACAAAAAAAACAAATATAACACGACAATACTTGAAAAAAACGCAGAAATCTGAGCTCAAGGCCGCTTCCGCGACGGTTTTTATTTTTAGTAAGTTCTGGTTTTTTTTAGCAGTTGTTGTATTCGATATGTTGTATCTGAATGGAAAATCGATTATGAATGCACCACTTCATCAGCGCCTTCGAGCTTTGGATGCTGGTCTTCTGAAGGACAATCAGAAACACATAGACACGATATCGCTTGCGCCGCGGAAGACTGTCTCTACAAAGTAAGTTGAATTCGTGTGATGACTGTATCCCTTTACTAGTACAGTCAATCTGAACTTACTCGCGCTCTTCTGTAATCACAAGGCTAGGCGGTTGGTATGAGAATATGAAGCCTGAAAGGAATGAGGAGAGATGTTTGTTTGAGGAAAGCGCACTGGGAGAACAGGGGTATGTGGCGATTTATTCGTGGGCACTGGTAACCATACATTGACACTGATAGGCGTGACTGGCGACGCCGCAGTCATTGCGTACAGTTGTGCTTGTCCTGCACCGATGAAGGGACTGTCCAGACTGTCACTGACCTGTCGAACAGACGGCGTCGCCAACGAACTATTTTCGGACAAACTAGTGACCCGAATCCGTTGCTGCTCCAGCGAAAACCTGATATTGTTTTTTGTTACTGGCTGTTTAAGCGCAGTACGCGATTCGAAAGCTATCACAAGAATGCTGAGTTATGGGCAAAAGTCGGACCACGGGCGGGATTCGAACCCGCATCTTCCGCTTTCCGTGCGAATGCGTTCCTATATTACGCTACAAAGGCCACTTTTGACGCACTTAGCCATTGTGTTTTGTGCCACCGTTAAGCACTAATACACGTCCGACGTGACTGTAAGGCTATGGCACAAATAGCCATTGAGCTGAGTGGTCAAAAGTGGCCTCGGTAGCGTAATAGGGAACGCATTCGCACGGAAAGCGGAAGATGCGGGTTCGAATCCCGCCCGTGGTCCGACTTTTGCCCATAACTCAGCATTCTTGTGATAGTAGCTCCCGCCGACCAGTCCAGTTACGTTACACAACTTTCATTTGGTGCGACTTGAGCTGCGTGTCCTGACAGCAAGCGATAGAATCGCTCGTCTCTGGAAAACAATCCCTCTTGTCGGAGTTTTGCACCCAGAAATCATGT